CTCTCTTCTATAGCTAAGAAACGAGATTTGATCAACTGAAAGCAGTCAGTCACGGATGATGTTAAATGATTGTACTTGCTCGAAAGGACGAGTGCAATCGCGTTATGATGTTAACTTTCGGCCGTGAGCAATAACACTAATATGAAGAGTTGTCAAGACTGCCAACTTATAGTTAGGCCTTTTAATTGAAAACATGTATCATCTGATAAAGCTAGCCGTGCGGACTCCGAAGCTTTTTGACGATTTCTGATGAAAAATTAAACGGGGAAAAAGTGCATTTACTATTGCAATACGTGTCCTGACCTCAGTGGCCGAGGTAGTAACGAGATGATCTCACATGTGAGGTCAGCGCTTTGTGCGTTCATAATGAAGGTTCTCATTAAGAGTTCGTTCAACGAACTAACAATATGAAAGCACTTACAAATGGCGAAACAGTATTCAGTCCATGTCGAAATTCCTACTGACTGCATTATTTCGTTGCACACTAAGGAACTCAAGTCTAAGGCTAAAGGTGCGACCGCATAGTAGGTGCGATCTCAACGCATGCACTTTGATCAGTGTTTCTTTTCGCTTGACGCGCCTTCTGACGGGCGAAAACTGCATAAAGAACGCAACTCTATCGAAAAATGAAGCTGAATTTGATCATACAAATATGTTATATCTCGTCGATACCCTATTGATGAGCATCAAAAATGCTCCTTACAAATATGTTTGTCATTTTGAGGTTATTCAAAATAATCTGCGAGAGTCGAAGAAGATAGTTGCTCGAATAGGATATTGTTTTCTGTGCTCCATTTGATGCATAACACTTTCAGCGGCTAGATACTTATGCAAATCTTGTTTCATTCCATATTCATCGCATTGTTTATGCAAATTTTTTTCGTTCACAGCCAGAAACAGATTATTTCAGTTTATCTGTTTATTCTAAACAGCTATTATCCTTATTTCTTAGTTATACGCAAAATTAAACGGTGTGCTAAATGAAACCTTCCGCTCATTTCTCATCAGCCAAAATAGATGAGGAGGATTCAGGGAAAGTGATGCATACGGTCGTTTTCAATGTGTTTAGGCTAAATTAATGTTTGTTGAAAAACTGTTCTGGAATGACTTTCGAAATATGACCTGAAAAAAAAAGTTTGCCATATTCTCTAATGAATTTGAATGTGTTCTCTTGTGTGTCCAAGCAAGAAATGAATTGTTAGGCTGCTGAAACGAAATCCAATCGTGCATCTTGGCCAATGAAGCAACAGCATACGGTTGAACCACGCAAACAACGTGCTGCAGCGATGGTGGCAAAAGATGCGATGATTCTTATGTCGAATAATGCCGTTGTTAAGGTTATCATCACATTGCCACTTGTTATCCCTTTAATCTTCATTGCACATCAGTCAGGCATGTATGTGGCTGAATTGGAAAAGAAAACTGAAAAAATTAAATGTGAGCAAAATAAATTGAATTTATGAAAGGCATTTGAATCCATTCAAAAATATGGTAACAGAAATATGGTGCATCAACGCAACAGAAATATGGCGATGCAGTTGTTATAAAGGATTAACCGAAAACTGTTCATGTTGTGGTATTCTTTGTTGGACTAACGTCCTAGTTCAGGATATAATCAAGTCACCATCCTCAACGAAGAGAGATCATCCTGCGATTCGTCCACAAAAACGAACTTCTAACGCATCCGCCAGCTCTCCATCGTCCGCGAAAGTACATGCGCTTACACCTGTTTTCGTTGAATTTTGAAGTTGTTTGCAGTGATTTCATCTGATTAAAACTATAACTTCGGATAACAGTAATTACTTTCGAGAGGTTTCGAAATGATAAACAAATTTTGTTTCTCTTGAAGTAGAAAGGTAATTACTAACAATACGCGTCGCAATAGAGATTGTTTTGTACTGATCAACAATACTTTTTTGAATGCAAACTCTCTCTTAGTCTGTCGGTTTTATCAAGTCAACTTGAAAAGAGGGTAAAAGTAATATGAACATAAGAATAAACTGACGATTGACGAGCAAATAATCTAAAATATGCATGTGAAATGGTTATTGAGTGGTAATAAATGATGAATCGTAAAATTTTACAGCATGGAAAGAATTCAGCAGATTCATCACTATCCTCGTTCACGTTACAAGCATCTTCCTCTAAATCAGTCCCTGAAATCGCAAACGATCAGTCCAATGGTAATTTTACAAATGAGCACTCCTCTGAAACATCTGATGTAAATGCTCCGCATGTACCTAGCGACCTGTCAAAAGATCTCTCCATCAACTCATATCCGCGTGAATTGACTGTTAAAGAGGTTGGTTTGCATGCACAGTTTTAATATATGACTCCAAATGTGTTTAAAGGGATCGAAGAAAGAATATTTGAATATGAGAATTATGCCACGAATGCAAACAATTGTGTGTATGTTTCTGCAGTCTGAAAGTAAATTGATGCCATGGAAGCATGTTTGTAAAGACTTTAGTCATATTTCGGTTAACGTGTCCTGTCCTTATGGTTGCTAGTCTTGAATGCGAGTTACATGGTTTTTAAGCTGATTGGTACGTTTCTCACTTTGAATTTCATAGAAAACCAGCTTTTAGCTCGTCTTTATGTTCAGGCCCATACCCAGCCTTACGGTTCTTTGAAGTCTCGCCCGACCTCACAGACTCATGAATGCGTACGCTTAGCCGTGCATTCTCACCGTTGTCCCAAGCAGTGTGAGCGTCTCCTTCCTCAGTTCAACAGTTAAAAGTTGAACTGCGTCTCTGAACCATTAATAATCCAATATTCTTTAACAATCGCTCGCGCTTATGAATATAGAAATCATGTGCTTTTGTATTTCATGCATTTTCTGCTCTCTTCGTTATGAGTCCTTCAGCTGAACTTGGTTTTATTGGTTAATTGACCTAACTGTGTTAATGCCATATCCTGCCCCAACGGTAGTCTATGTAGAGAGTGTTTATGCTCCCTGTGAGCACTCTTCAAAAATTGAGCTAAGCGCAAATTGTTGAATAGAGCGTTCATGTATTCTATTATAATAGGTGCTTGCGAAATCGATGCGTGCAAGTCGAGTTGGTATGCGCAATTTAAGTCGTGATATTGTCGATATAATAAATAACATGCAAACCGAAGAATCTTCCCCGGTCACGCCAGCTGTCACTTCACAGGTTGTTGATCTTTCTACCATTCAATAGCATTACGTATATCCGCATTACTAACCAATTCAATAATACGCAACAATCCAACTAAAGAATANGTATGTTTTTGAATTGAACGAATAAATAATATCTTGAAGGTGGATAACGAACCGTCAACAGACCAGCAATCATCACAACAGAAACCTAATCAAGAGCCTCAAAGCACAGTCCGAAAGGTTGAAAATGTGGATACAAAAAAGAAAAATTCCCAAAAAAGCAAAGTACCGATATCCGTATCGTTAGAGGACGTGATATCTTCGGTAATCTTGGACGCTAAAAATGCATCAATGAATATCCAACATCAGATCAATGATTCACGAAGACAGGTGCTTAAAAGCCATTATCATTTCTTCGATTCTTTGTTCATTGCGTTACATTCATCATCTTCATTAAACTACGCTTTGATTGTGTTGGAAATGCTGAAAAAAGCAAGTGTTGTTAATTGATCACTCTCTGCATGATTTTTCATGCATTCAGCTGAAACATGAGGTGAATAGGCATCGAATTATCCACTGGATAAATTAAACAGAGCAATAATCATATAATTCTATCATACGTGTGTATTCTCCTCATCGTCAGTCGTTTTCCCCACTCATTTCTATTTTCATAATTTAGTCATTGATAATTCAATATTCATGCATAATATTCATGCGACGATTGAACATAATTTTATAAAGGATTTCATCTTTATGTAAATTGAGGGTTAAGCTTTTTCTTACCATTACGCTTGCTGTCAACAGCTCGTTTTTTCCCAAATACTCATGCCTCTTACTTTCGTGTTAGCGGGCATTTGATAAATGGGAAGTTTTCAGCCACCTTAAGAATGAGCACACCATGCAAACAACTGAAATTAACAGGATTGTTGAATCGTAGAGTTCCGTTTTTTTTTTCGTAAACATGGAATATACACTGCACAACTAATAACTCCGGGAGAATTTACCTGGCATATCCAATTTGTCAAAATAGATGATGCAAAGTAGATTGGAGATATGTGAAGAACTTATCGGTTGACGGATTGTTATGAATAAAGAAATTGCTTTCCGCATGGTAACAATCGATGCAAACGTAACAAATGAGCCATACGCAAAAATTAGATTGTTTTACGAATCTGCAGCTACAAACTGACTTTAATTCTACTCACGATAGACGGCATAATATAACGAAAGCTGTATGCACTTAGTCTTGATAAATGAATAGCGTCGCAACATGAATACCCCTTGTCAGTTTAGGTACTTATACAATCAGTTATCAATTGGGTGGTTCGTGAGAATGCTTGTTTTGATGAGCTGTGATATCGTTTATAATGTATGATCACACATCATAATGCAGAAAAAGAAATGTTTTTTGCAACTCAACGATTTTCAACCTGTCTCAGTCACGAAACTGCAATAATTCATTAAGATTTATGTTTATCCTTTTCCTATGTTTATCCATTACTTATCCTCTTTCCATGTTCATTTTCCCATCAAAGCAGTCTTTGGGTTACGTTTGATTTACCCAATTTTTGGACTGTGATTCCAATTCGATAAGTCGTAAATTTTTTCTAGGATCGTATGACGGTACAGGAAGTTATTGCTGAACCACTGCCATCACCGTCAATCACGAAAACGTCCACGCCGAAAGGTACCAATTCCTGTTATACATTCATATGATATTCGATGAGAAGAATCGAAGTCACCTTTTTTTTATTACGACTTGCGAAATGGAGTTGTTGAAGGTGTCAGCTAAAGCTTCTTGTTATTTATAGCTAACAAAGCATCAAAAGATGTCGATTTTCGAGATCTATCGCCTGGCAAAGCGGAACAAACGAAAAAGGCTGCAGAGACGAAATCCATTTTGATTTGCGATGAAGAGATGCTTGGTGAGGATGATGTCAGAGATGATGCTAAAAAGTAAGTTCATTCATTGTATCTTGTGGATATGTTATGTAAAATTCAACAATTTTTTTAGAAAATTCATATTATTGTATCCTAGAAAACACACCAGAAATCATTTTTATGACCTCATCCTTTAGGCAATGCTCATTTTGAATTCAATTTCCGGTGAAATTCTATTTTCAGTTTTTTCAATTGAACATTTGAATTTTGTCCGTATTGAAAAAGCAAAAGAAAGTGTGATCTGAATCCTCTTCGATCTCTGTTCAAGTTCGCTAATTCTCAATCGTTTGCAGTAGGTTGGGCGGTAAAGTGCGTCGTGAGTTGAGCAACTCTGAAAAACTTCTTATTATAGCAGATTTCGACGCAGGGATGGTACCACACGAATTACAGCAGAAATTCAAGGCCTCGAAAATTCAGGTTCGAAAAACAAAATTTACGCTATCGTCAAGAGGCGTATTTTATCAATTGTTCCTGAATGGCGTTTTTATTTGTTGAGATGAACCATTCTGTCGCGAATGGGATTTGATCGAATTCGTGTTGCAGTTTCGAATTTTTGCCTAGCAATATATCGTTTTTAAATTGTTTCTTTGCGTTGAACAGATAGCCGAAGTGCTCAGCAATCGTGTTCCAATTATTCGTCAACAAACCGCTTCATCATCCGACGGTGTTGCGCTGAAACGACGTCGTACAAATTTTGTTGGATTGAATATTATGATGTGGCGATTTTTTTGTGATTGTCGTGATCAAGGGATATTTTTGAATGGCAGACAATTGAAAGAACACGCTCTCACGATTGCCAGACAGCTTGGTTCCTTTTTTCTTCCTCTTGTTTCAATTGTTACATTCAAGAATGACCTTCGTTATTGTGTGTCAACAAACAATTCTTAATTGTAAAGCGAACAGTAATTAAGTTCTCTGTTCATCGTTCTCTTTTGAACTAGTTTTGCACCTAATTCAAAAAATGTTTTCTACATTCAACAATTCATCAACTTTCAGGTTTGCATAATTTCAAAGGATCTGAGGGTTGGCTGGATTCATTCAAACGTCGACACAATATTGACTTGAAAACAATGACTGGGCATCCGGTTATCTACGAAACAGATAATGATGGTAATGTGTTTTGTCCGGGTGAAAATATGAACGATTCGTATTGTGAGTACTCTGACTATCATTACTTGTTTGATTCGTTCATTTTGCAGTTTTTGCTAACCGAACGTGCATTTGACTGCAGTTGATTTGATTTAAAATTTGATTGAAGTATATGTATTTTCACTGCGTTGTTGTTCGCTTCTGGTATTTTCGCCTCTGTGTCATGTATTCGTGAATTTTCAGCGCCGCGATCAGAGAGTCCTCGATTAGAGGAACACGTGCTAAATAATAGCTCATCATCGATGATCGTTGATGCAAATCAATTCCTGATCGATGCCGCCGATGCAGCAGCCCGAGCCGTTACTTCGAGTAAGAATGCAAATATCAGCACTGCATATCGCTTCTCACCTTCAAACAATCTCAACACTCTTGCTATTGCTGCTTGCAATACTGGAGGTGTGTGCTTAATGATCGCTACATCTCATTGTCAGCATCAACTTATCCTCATTTCTGCTCTTGATAAATATCTCAAGAAGACCAGTTCTGTTTGACCTCTACTCTTGGAATTTATGTACGAATAGGGCAGTTTTCCCTTTAATTCGGTTTGGAAACTTAAACAGAGATATTTCATCTGTTTTTCTTTTAAATCATACGAATTCACATGAATATCACTCAATTTCAGAAACTTTCGATATTGTTGAATGATATCTAACAAAAACTTGATAACTTTGAAGATATGGGTCCATGTAAGGCGACGGCAGCAGTCCATACAACGCAGCCATTGGATTTGGCTATGCTACCGGCCACATCCTCTGGCATATCAACAAATTCTGGTGCAAATAAAACAACACCATCTGCCAATCTCGCTCGTGGTTGGGTTTTCCTCGTACTCCTTTCAAAACAATTCCTTATCAACGTTCTCACTTATGCTGTTCCTTCAGAAATATCATTTCTCAATTGTGATCATTTTGCTTCATTACTTATTTTATGATATTAAAAGTACATCGATGTGGATGTGTGTCTTACTGTTTTTTAAATCAATTCAGGTTCTTCGTTGTTAACTCCATTATCCGACTTATCAGGTACGAGTAATGCCACACTTCAAGCTCTCGTCGATTCATGTTGTTATCGTGTGGATGAACCTGAGGTAACTTCTAGCATTCATCCATCACACATCAACGATTACATTCGTATCGAATTTCTGCGATTGTCAACAATTTGACACATTCAATGTGTAATTTCAGATAACGCATGCAATGGAAACAATAAGATCGTATATCACGCTAAATGATATGAGTTTACTGCCCACATTAGTGACGCTTCAAAAGGGACTTGCTGCTATCGCTTACAGCAAACGTTCGAAGCAGTCTACTAGTAACCAACATTCAAACACAGTACCAACGCCAGTAACTGTTACTGTACCTTCTGTCTTTCTACCTGAGTCTACCGAGCCAAAGGTAAACGAAACAAATGATTATTCCTATATGAAGAGGAACTGCTTAGATTTAAGCTATTGAATTATTCTAAAATTTCTAGAGAATAAAATGAAATCAATGAGAGAATAGCAACTGAACAATATTTCACCGTTTCAGACATCCTCAGTGAGCTGTTCACCAGTCACTTCGTCATCAGCTACTGTAGTGCATGGTATACGAGTGAAGCCGTTGAATGACTTCAAAGATAAACTCAGCAATACCATCAATTAATCATATTACCTCAATTTGCGAACTACAGTGACCCGAATCAGCATCCGATTACTTCTCTTGTCTCTGCATATTCTTTACCACAACATTACTATCACTGCCAAACTTGATGTACCTCAGGTCGTTTCGTTCTTCCACCTCAGGTTCTACTTATCGTCAATGTAGTGTGTTTGTATTTTGATTGCCAAATATTCAATTTCTTCGTTTGTTATCCATTGTCATATATTCATATTCTCCGACCAAAGTATGTATCTGTTTGAATGACGATGTTTAACGAATAAATTCAGCAGCTTGAAGCGCCCAATAAACACAGCCATAATTGACCTGAAAGTGTTTGTGTTTCCATCAGATAAATTATGATAGCATTCTTTTTACAGTANTATTCAAATTAGTTCGTTGTTGCAGATCTCCTCGAGTGTTTCCTGTAATGCCCCACGGAATTGTCTTGTATTTCACTATCTAAATTATATTTCCTAATCAAAACCATGTTATTGTTCATTCAGGATGTTATAATGTTATGATCATATTGTCCGTTCGGGATACTATAAACTGTTTTTGAATTATTGCGTTGTTTAAGTCTTGTTACTCTAAAATCGTTACGAAATAATATTGTTGTAAATGAATGATCCTCAGTTGAATAATTAAACAATATTGATGAGTGATTCAGTTATGACGGAATAAATATCCTCATTTTGCCTGTTAAAAATTCCTGTGAATAATACATTTTGAATTCGTCAGTTTTGAAATTAAGCATCACAACACTGTTTCACATATGCCGAACTGTTTTTCAATATGAAATGTTTGGAACTTATGGAAGCATTTCATTGAATGTCGATCTATTCGATGGATGAGCAGATTGGTTTTTCTGGGAAATTCGACACGGATGAGCATCAACGAATCGTGCGTACAATATTCGTACAAACAGAATATTAGGTTTCGAGACAATCAGTTTTCGTAACTGATTTATTAACAGTTTTTATTATTGGCTTTATTTGAGCAAGAGTTTGCTTTATTTTTATTCTCACCATCGAAAGGGTCTTTTTATTTTTATCGTGGTTCCGTAGTAAGTGTTTTATGATTACTAGTTGAAAGGCGATTTATGAATAGTGTTGTATTTGTTAATTATTCTTTATACATTCACAGAGAATGCAAAACACAAGTATGTTTTGAAAGCGATTCCAAAGTGCTTGTTGCGTCGTTGGGTAGTGCCTCTAGCATTGTTGACCTTCCTGCGGCCAGTCACAAACCAGCGCATCCGAATTCCAAACTAGCGTTCCGGGACAATCTTTATGAACCCATTTGCCATGAGCGCACTGGTAGAATTTATGACAATTTTCAGTGTCTGCTCGATATCCACTTCGACCACTACTCTCCTTCAATTCTATGTCTTCGTGAACTTAACGATAGAATTGCTCTATCAGTTTAGTCACAGTTAACTGCCTCAGTAATCTAACAGCATACTTAATTGACAGCAATTCTACTTGCAAGCAAAATGAAGTAGTCCATGAGGTGTTCAAAGGAATTTGATCGACTTTCAAAGGAATTTGATCGTTCGAGTTTTAATTATAAGGCGATCATTCTGTGAAGTGTGAGTGAATTTGTTTCGGGGTCGATTTTGGTGACCTTATTCACTTCAGTGAATGTAAAGTTTCGAAAACTGAGGCGACTAACATAAGTAGATTATGCTTATAATGAAGACTGAAAGAAGATTGCTTTAAGTGAGACAACCTGGCATGGAGCATTCATTTCGTAATACTCGCCAAAAATGAGTCCGTTCTGACAGTCGCCAGCCACACATCGATTGAGTCTTTCGTTGAAATATTGGCCGCTAGGACAGAAGCGACGCTCGAAATGTTTTTGCTCTCCAACGCACGAGAAATATTTCTTGCAGTCACTATAATCAACTCGTTTATCGCCATAATTGCATACGTTGTTCACGTCATCCGACTGATGTTGAGACAACACAGTTGCTGTTCTTGCGTAATTTGATGGTGGCACTTCCGATGCGGTTTGCTGCATATTTGGGCATACGTAATCAGCGCGACAACATTTTGACTGCAATGAAATTCACTGAAAACGACTACAATTGAATACCTTCCTCAAACTCTTCAGTGCAGGGTCTTATTGGCGAATTCGTATGACTTAAGAGTTTCTGATACTGATGGTAATTTCCAAGCAAAGATAAGAAGTTATGTATTGAAAATCTACCAAGACGAGACGATATAGAGATTAGGTGATGCATGCTGAATTTCTCGGCTGTTAAACGAGACCATGAATAAACAAGAAACGATCACAGGGTGGAGACGAGACGAGGAACGATCATGCGCTCTCTATAGAGACGAGTTCAGATGAGAAGCAGTCAAGGTAAAAATAAGNTCAATCGAGAAAGATGCGACGAAATGGCAGTTATCATGCTAATCGTAAGCTGAAAGAAGCGAATGCCTCATAAATAATGAACGATGATTTCACTGCATCAAAAACCGAGTGGCAAACGCACCTTCCGGTATCTCCCCTCCATGAATCTCTTCGCGTATTTTTCCATACTCATCGATGAAATAAAAAGTCACCGAAGAGTGCCGGGATGACCGATTCGTTCGACTCATTAAGTGTTATTTCGAGAGAAGCTTTTCAGTGTTTCATTAGAACGGGGTTAAACAGTGCCGATTTTTACGGAATGGTTAAGATGAGAGAACAAATGAGAAGTAAGAGCAATCAAACAACAATAAACATACAAGTGGATCAAAGTTTTGCCCGTAAGGACAAAGTCTTAATTCGAAACGTCCATTAACACATTCCATGTAGGTCGTACAATCTCTTGGGTTACCTTCCAGAACGCCATTGTGACATTCAGCCGATTGTTGTTCGGGATAATCTGAAATTTGATTGCTTTTTGTCAAAGCACAATATTATGATCAGTGATCAGAAAAGTGTTTGCGAAGAAATGAGATAAAACAAATTGAAATTTCATCACAACAATAAATAAATCGAAATTCCACGCCTGGAACAATAAATTAACGATTAAACGCGCCGTTACAAAACAAAACTTCACATCAATCAAAATCAGCAACACATTTGCCATGAATCGCTTACTTGATTGGTAACTATTTTGATATTGCGTCTGATAACTATTTTGATATTGTGTTGAAGAAACTGTCTGAAATTGGTATTCGACTTTAAGTGATGCAATTAGAAGAAATACAATGTGATATGGTTAAACGAGTAAAATTTGTGTACAATTTCTTCGACAGTTTCAGCTCACCTCGACAATTAACTGAAGAATGATGATGAACAATATCAGCGAGCACATTGAAGCCATGCGTTAAAGGATATTGTCAAAACACCGTCCTATCGAAATTTCTGATTCGATCCGAAAATCAGCTTTTAATCTGGAAATTAATGTTCGTTTGGTAAATTAATGCAGTGAAGTTGCTGGTATTATGTGTTAATTGTTAACAATAAAATGCGTACTGTTCCACGACGTCACAGATCCCATAATATGAAGACACGCATTTTTGTTCACACGACTCAGAAAATAAGTTTTCTTATGAAATCCTTCTAAAAAGTTCAAGCAGCGTATATTTGCAAAATCTGCATACTAACAATCATAAAACAATAAGCGTAATTACTATTATTAAAAATATCGTAGACAAAGCTGATTGTGAGTGGCTAGCATCTTTGATCAAATAATCCTGATACTCAACGTACAATCGTCTCAGAATCTGATTGCAATTGAGCTGATTGCAATTCATAACGAAAGAAGGACGTTCTTGGATAAGCATTTCATTGGAAATAGTGCTCAACATCTCACAACCTGCATGTATTTATACACTCGTGGGGCAATGCAAGAGTATGACTGAAGTGATCGATGAACATTGAAATATCTCGAACATAGCGATGTGATATGCCTCAATGGATAACTTTATATTACATTTGTGATGCTTCATTGTATGGTTCAACTTGAAATTTACAATCTTATCAACTGTGATCTCATAAACTTATCGCTTTCTGTGCTTTAAGTCCATTTTTGTCGTAGCTGCTATTAGTTCTCTCTGGCATTTTTGCTGAGATCCAAGGAAGAAATCTTATCAAATCATGTCTTATCACATTTCAACTCAGGAACAAATCGTATCACTTTACTGTGTTCTTCCTTAACATTTACACTTAACAGTTGTTATTATGTTATTGATTTTCTCCATCTCCACATAATTCAACATGTATTATTATTATATAGCACTTGCAACTATGACTATGATTGATGTGCAATCAATTCGTCAGCTTTCCGACTGATTATTAATTTGGCTGGTTATTACAGAATTTCAACGAAAGAAGATGATCCAGTAGATATGGAACTGGTTCGGGGCTTCGAACTGAGATCAATTTTGATTCGGAGTCTTGGTATACGGTTGCATTAATGTATATTGATTCGACAATCCATACAGTTAGATATTGGGTCAGTTAACAGTCTTGACAATCACGGCTTTAAACATCAGTTTGGTTAAGTAAAAAAAGCCAATTGCTCATTGCAATATATCAAATTACGAGAAATAGATGAAGTATTTATCACATAGCGCATATCTCTCATCACGTATAAATATCCGCATGCAGATAAATTAACGATTCTGGTTTGAATGGACGATATTCGCTGTGGGGAATAACTCTTCGGTTTTCGGGACCGTATCATCGTCTGATATGCCCTGAAATCCGATGAAAATGTTGACTTGTTCATTAACGTCGTATACTATCAACAACAACATCAGCTGCACACAATTCATTCCGTGTAATGAGCTATTACAGTACTTGCATTCATTACTCTTCATGTTTATCGATAAACTTCAAATGATTTTGATGTTTGCTATTGTGCTTCAGCAAAGCTCACTTGCGATGGTGATACAGTTGTTCATTAGATCACCATTTGAGTACTTTTCTTGCAATTTTTTTTTTGTTTTAAACTCAGAGTGCTTAAATTGCTTATTGAATTAGGCTGAAAACGTCGATCAGTTTTGTATCATATATATA